CAAATGTACACCAAGGCGAAGGTACGTTCGTTGCTACTAGTTCAGAGCTAATTGCAAACATTAATCTAATGAGAAGGATTTACAAGCGGTGTAAATTTATTTGTAAGGTATTCGCTTAATTACGCAGATTCCAGGCCGCCCTGTTTCAACGCCTACCCTTTCTCTCTCTCTCTCTCTCTCTTTCCTTGTGTATAAAGCGCAACAGCATGAGAGAACAGTCTCTCCTCTATACAATATGAAGAAGCTGAATAATTAGAAAAGTTCCCGAAGATAAAATATATATATAAAAAAATTAGTTCATCCAATGTTTTATATTAAATTTTTATCACTTTCTACTTTCTGTCCAATTTCTAATAAAATATTTAAATATTTCTATTATTTATAAGTATATAATGTATGTATATATATAAATATTCAACAATACCAAGAGAAAATATTTGCAAAGGTTTTATTAAAATTCTTGTATCTTTTAAGTATGATTTTAATAATGTATAAGAATTGAAATTTGTTTAAAATTACATCCAAAATTACAAAGAGGAAGAGAGAGAGTAAAGAATTTTTGTTTAATTATTTAAGGTTTCTATTTATTTTCACCTGTGCAATAATTCTATTTTAACTTTTCTGAATGTAGAAAAAAATTTCTTTTTAAGGTCATGTCTTTGTAAGGCAGCGACAATCTACCTGGAATTTCGGAATATTTTCAACAGTACTTAATCGAAAACAAGAATATAAAATTCTTTGTCGTTTAGGATAATTGATTATTGACAAGAAATATACCAGATGAAACTTTTTTTGAATTAAAAGTAAAAAAATTACACAGAAAAAAAATGAGTTCATTTTTGTTGCAGTTCATTCTGAATTCGGTATCATAATGAACAATAACTAACTTCAAGTTACTCAAAATGAACCGGACCCGGATCAAATGTCAGGTTATGTTAGTTTCTGTTGAAATTCAAGATTTTAAGATTATTATGTTGGCAACAACTGCAACTTATGTATGCAGCGCCACACACTGGCGCAATATTCAAATTGAAATAGTAGAAATATTTTTTACTTTAATTTAACAATAAATTTGAATAATTATAGTTAATGTATAATATAAATTATTATTATATATTATATTTATAATATTCATTTACAAACTATTATATGTATTATATTTTAAAATAGTATAATATAAATATAATAATACTGCCCTACAACGAAAGAAAACATATAAGCCACATTGTCGCTTCAGTCGCTCTTCCGCAGTGTTTATATACAGAATTCGACCAAAGCGACAATGTGGCTTATGTATGTTCTTCCGTTGTAGGGCAGAATAGATAATATATAATAATTGTAAAATATACAAGAATTGCAATTAAAAAAATGATATGGGATAAATTTATTAAAATAAGTTTAAATAAAAATTTATATATATATTACATTAATTATATTAATATTTATTTAATATTAATAATATTTTACAATTATATAATTATAATATATTATATGTATTATAATACATTATATAATTATAAATATATATTATTAATATATGTTATAACAATCATTACATTATTATAATGAATAACACTTTATTTTTGGTTATTGTTTCAAGTTTAAATTTGGCGCCATTATCTTTGGTTTTTAGACAGTGGCGCCGTTAAATTTCATGTTTCGTGTTGCATGGTTGGTATTTATTTCTGTCAATTCAGAAGTTTTTAACCTAAAAATAATTTATTTTGTTTTCTATAAATTCAATGAATCAGATTTAAGAAACAAAGTTTTTTCAATTGTAATCTGTTTGTTCATTAAAGACAATGATTTTGATTAATGGTTTTATGATAAAGTGCTTCTTAATTGACTATAATTGTCATTTTAACTTGAACTCAAAATGAATCGGATCTAGCTCATTTTGATGCTTTTTGCCTGAAGTTCAAAATGAGTTTCTCGAGGTTCATTTTTGTGTAATGTCGATAAATTAAATAACTGACAAAATCAGTAAAATATTTCTTACCAATAATCAATCATCCTAAAGGAAAAAGTATTTTATTTTCTTGTTTTTAAGTATTCAAAATTTACCATTCGATGTAGATGGCGCTGCCTTACTTTAACTGATTTTAAAATTTTCAATAATTAATTATTGTACTTGAAGTATTTGAAGTATATTTGAATTCGTATTAAAAATAAATCTTCATTAAAAAAAAAATACATCTTTCAATTATTATGAAAGTTAACAGAAAATTTTTTTTTTTCGTTGATTTTAATTGTCTATAAAATATTTCTAAGATTTTATAGCAGCAGTTAAATATACTATATGTATGCATCGATATGAAGCGAGAATTTGCTTTTGTATATAAATATATACAACCCCCACCCCTGCTCCATTTAAGCACCGGTGCTCGTTTCGAATTTATGCCAGAATACGATCCGTTATTTACGGTTAGCGTGTCATTCAATGCCGGTGGCAAGAGCCATGCTTATGATCATATTTGAAAAACATTTTTTTTTCTCTCTCACTCTCTCTTGGAAATTTTCGTCCATTCCGAGACGATTTACAATTTGCCATGATTTGGTATATTACGAGGACACAGATTCGATACACTATATATACTGGAAGCCGTTTCAGGGGGATGCATCTGTTGCACGATGAGGTAACAGTATGTGTTGTCGTTTTATTGGTTGTTTTGAAATTGCAGAGAACGCCGTAAAAGAGGGTTTTGCACTGGCCGTTAAACCGAAAATGGCGCTCGTGTCACAAAATCAAATGATAGTGAAGACGAAGGCTTATTTCTGTCATCACAAAACATATCCAGTTTGTTGTTGATGAAAATGTTTTTTCTTTTCTTTTCCCCTTTTCTTCTTCTTCTTCTTCTTTTTCTATTTTTTCTTGTCTTCACTTTTTTTGTTATCAAAATAACGAAATTTCTCTGTTAAAAATTTTTAATTCTAATTAATTTTTTAAATTTAAAATTATTATATAACAACAAAGCGATATATCGTAAGGTGAAAATATAATTAAATTTTTGATGATTATTTTGAAAAGTTGGAGACATGCGGAGAATTTGATTTAAAAGTTTTAACGAAGTAATATATTAAAAGGCAGAATAAAGGTAAAAGCTGATTAATACTTTCCGACATCACAGATTCTGTTACAAAGTAATTACAGCAGTAGTTCGTTAGTGACTAAATCCATTTTACTTTTGTCATTTTTCGTCTACTTTTCGTCCCTCGAGAGGTGTCTCAAGTTTTTCACCTCGTTTTATATTTTTTTTCGATTTCTCCAAAAAAAAAAGAAAATGAATCGCCACTTATTAATATAATTTAGAAAGTGAATAAAAAAAAAGGAATATAAAATAAAATATTTTTCTTATTGTAGTTGAATTAATTAAAAATGATAAATGAAAAAAAAAGTTAATTTATAAAATTTGAAAGTATGCATATTTTTTTAAAATAAAATCTCATGCGTTTTATGAGTATTTAATGAATCTCTTTATTGTGTTGTGTGTGAGTAGTTAATGAAACTTGAAGAAAGTGGGTCTGAACGTGTCGAGAAGCAGAAGCTGATCATAGGTCTCTCTCTCTTTCTGTTTCTTTATGAAGTATAACAAGAGCTTTTGTTGAAAGTACGACATTTATAAATGGACACTAAAGAAACTTTACATAAACGCGAGGCCAATAATCTGTTTCTCCTGTCACTCAGGCATCCCGCAGCTTAGCTTGTTTGCTATTATTCTCTTCACTTTCGTGTATAGAGTTGACCTCGCACTCTATAAAATTCTCTCTTAACCCTTTAATGGCCGAGTTTTTTGTCGTTACTTTAGACTTATAATGTATATTAGATTTAATTACTAAAGTATTCAGTATGAGAAAAAAATTTTTTTTAACATGTCTCACCCCTTAAAACCACCCCCACGGTACATTACTACCCCAAAAAACTGATATTTAACGAAATTGATGAATTAAATATTTTTCAGCTCTTACCTACTTTTTAATTATTTATAAACATTGCCTGGTTGCTTAAAAATTGAAAACGACCAATAACCCCTTGAAAACACCCTTAAAGTCAAATAATCATCCCTTGACGGTGAAAGTTTTTGTAAATGATTAAAAAAATCTATAGATTCTAATTGCTTCTAAATTATAAACAATTATTTGAAAATTACACAGACATAGATAATAATAATAATAAACTCACCCCCTACCCTTGAAGCCCACCCCTAATTCATAACTATTCTCAGTTTGAAACAATCAAAAAAATAATTTTCACTGATTTTCGAAAATATGAAAAAAATTTTTTTTTTATGATAACTAATTATTAACACTGAATAAAAACAACCCCTGAAAAACAACCCTAAAGTCAAATAACCACCCCTTAATGATAAATGTTTTTGTGAATAAATGAAAAAAATTATATGGATTCTAAGTGCTTCTGAATTGTAAAAAAGTATTTCAATGTTTCACAGATATGGATAATAATAATAAACTCACCCCCTACCCTTGAAATCCACCCCTAATTCATAAGTTATGAGATACTGAATTCAGTTTTCAACAATCAAAAAAATCATTTTCACTGATTATTATCATATTGAGTAATGCATTGAGTACATACTCAATGCACTCCCCTCCACGATGGCGTAGAGGGGAGTACATTGGGTAAATGAAAGGGGGGGGGGTACGACAGTAGCAAAGAAGCTCCCATGTGGAACTGCTGTTATAAGCCAATCAGCGCGTCGTTTCGTTTCCTCTGTGTAGCGTTCTTCCACTACCTTACCGATTGAGCCTGGGTCTGTTACCAGCTCTTGTTCACTTTTTCCTGGAACATCAACCAAGACGGAAGCTTTATCGCGATTTTTTTGAGTAAAATTAAAATTCTTTGAGCTTTCCTTTATTTATCCGAACCTTCGGTAACTTGTCTGAGGGTCCTAAATTCTTCCCTTTTTCCTTCCTCACCTTTTGCACAAAATTTTTGTAATTTTATTTACATTTTTTAAAAATCGAAGGTAAGTTTGATCAAAATGAATAAGCGTAGACAAAAGAAGATCCCGAATAAATTAGCCTCTCTTCCAGATGATCCTGATGATTCTGAAGTAGAAGGGGATATAGAATCAGATGAAGAAGAATCAGATGTTAGCTCTAGTTCAGGTGATGAAGACAGTTCATCATCTGAAAATGAGGATATTGATAATGCTGCTAACGATCTAGATTGGTCGAAATCTACCGAAAGATTAAATCTTTTTGATGGTATTGAAACGGATCCAGAGCTTTTGTTTTATTTGACAAACGAGACTTGTGAAATTGAATATTTTCTTTCTATTTTCAATGAGAATATAGTGATTAAAATAGTTGAAGAAACTAACAGATATGCTGCACAAAAAGAAAGAAACTCTTCAAAGACACGAAGGTCCTCTGGATCCGATAATGATTGGATTGAATTGACTGCAAAAGAATTGAAAGGTTGGATTGGAATGAACATTTTTATGGCGATTCATAAATTACCGAGTGTAGATCTGTACTGGAGTTCGGATCCTGCTCTCAGGGTAGATGCAATTGCAAACGTCATGACTCGAAATCGTTTTCAAAAAATCACTTCAATGTTGCACTTGAATGACAATAACAATCGTGTTCCCAAAGAAGATCCAATGTTCGATAAATTACACAAAGTGAGGCCTTTAGTCGAAGCATTGAATAGGTCAATAAAAGACGTTTATAAACCTTCCAATCTGGCTGCAATTGATGAATCTATGATTTTATTCAAGGGACGTTCTTCACTGAAACAGTACAATCCAATGAAACCGATAAAAAGAGGGTACAAAGTTTGGTGCTTAGCAGATTCAATAACAGGTTTTGTTTCAAATTTCGAAATTTATGCAGGCAAATCAGAGAACAAAAATTCTAACGATACATTAGGAGAACGTGTTGTTCTGAATTTGACGAAAGGCATTCTAAATACTGGCACTTTGGTAGCATTTGACAACTTTTTCACGTCTGTGAAACTTGTATCCAGCCTTCATCAGAAAGGGATTTTCTCGGTTGGTACTGTAAGGGCGAATCGGATAGGACTTCCTATCATGATGAAGGAAAAATCAAAAATGCAAAGGGGTGAGTATGTATTTCAAAGAAAAGGTGCTGTTACTGCTATAAAATGGATGGATGCAAAGCCAGTGACGCTCCTGTCATCAGCGCATCATCCAACTGTTGTAACTGCTGTGAAAAGGAAAACTAAAACTGGAAACAAAATTGATGTGTCTTGTCCTCTTGCAGTATCATCCTACAACAAAATCATGGGAGCAGTTGATAAATTTGATCAACTAAAGGAAAGATATTCCATCGGCAGACGATCTCGTAAGTGGTGGCACCGAATCTTTTATTTTTTAATTGACTTAGCGATTGTCAATTCGTACATAATGTACAAAGTAAAAAATGGAGATTCTAAGAAAACTCATCTTGATTTTCGTGTAAATTTAGCTAAACAGCTAATATCGAATACTACTTATCGAAAACGCACAGGTCGTCCAAGCAGCTTTGTAGGAAAAAAAATAAACCTTTTGCAGGAAGTTAGAAAAGATCAGTTTGGTAAACATGTATTGCAGTCTATTGAATCTCGTAGACGATGTCGCTTTTGCAGCACTAAGGAAAAAGAAATTCGCACTAAATATGTGTGCAAAACTTGCGATGTTCCTCTTTGTGTGGAACCTTGCTTCCAAAAATTTCATGACAGTTAATTCACGCGTAGAGCCGACGTTGATTAACAAAAAAGTGTACATTGGCACACTAACAAATTTACTGCTTTTTGCGTTGTATTTGAAGTTAGGAAAATATTATTATTATTATTATCTACTTTTTAATTATGCGTTTTTTTTCTTGTAGTTTGCGTAAATAATTCCTGCATCTCGTAGTATGGAATTAACAAAAACAAATTATTATTCTCATCTACTTTTTATCTTTATAATTTTTTTAACAATGCTTCTGGATTCATAGAACTTGTTTGAGATAAACAAAAAGGATTATAATTATCCATTTATTTAATTTTAAGTTTTTTTTTCACTAAGTTTCTTACCGTTTTCACCTTACTTCGTATGTGATAAAAGATGTTCGCAAAAATAACACTTCATCTTTTATAATGTATCTTTAGTTTAATTTAAGGTTTCTTCATATTATTATCAACGGATATAGCATTTTAAAAGATATTATTTATTTCTTCAACAAGGCAATAAGAAAAAAATAATGTCAGAATTAGAATTATAGTTCGTTTGCTTACAGCTACTCACAGCTCGTGATCTTCTTAACTATCATCAGCATAAAATAAACAGACAGATGTCATCTAGGTAGGAAATAGATTACTCTATCCTAACAGTTTGTAAAAAAATTTGTAATTTTCATTTTCATACTAAACTCCTAACAACAGGCACTAAAAGCTACAAAATTAATAGGCAATAATGACACCAGCATTATTTTGCAATTTTAAAAACTGACATCATATTCGTAATTATCGACCCCGAAAACCCCTGAGTAATAAGTTTCAGATGAATCTAATGAAAGTTAATCATTTCGTCCGCCATATTGGATCAGCCATTTTCAATTTTCTAAATATGATATCGGATAGGTAATCAGCGACCCCGAAAACCTCCCAAGTGACAAGTTTCACATGAATCTAGTGAATTTTTATATTTATCGGTCGCCATGTTGCATCCTCCATTTTGAATTTTTGAAAACGGACATCTGATTCGTAATCAGCGACCCCGAAAACCCCCGAGTGATAAGTTTCACGCGAATCTAGTAAATTTTTATAATTATCGGTCGCCATTTTGGATCCGCCATTTTGAATTTTTGAAAACGGACATCGGATTCGTAATCAGCGACCCCGAAAACCCCCGAGTGATAAGTTTCACGCGAATCTAGTAAATTTTTATAATTATCGGTCGCCATTTTGGATCCGCCATTTTGAATTTTTGAAAACGGACATCGGATTCGTAATCAGCGACCCCGAAAACCCCCGAGTGATAAGTTTCACGCGAATCTAGTAAATTTTTATAATTATCGGTCGCCATTTTGGATCCGCCATTTTGAATTTTTGAAAACGGACATCGGATTCGTAATCAGCGACCCCGAAAACCCCCGAGTGATAAGTTTCACGCGAATCTAGTAAATTTTTATAATTATCGGTCGCCATTTTGGATCCGCCATTTTGAATTTTTGAAAACGGACATCGGATTCGTAATCAGCGACCCCGAAAACCCCCAAGTAACAATTTTCAAGCGAATTTATTAATTTTTAAAGGTTTTGGTTTTTAGGGGTAGTTTTAGTTTTTTTTCTGCACCCTCGGGTTGAATTTTTAATATTAATTTTTTTTTACAAAGTTTACAATATTTTTAAACATATGTTACTTTGAAAGCCTGAAAAAAAAATTTCTTCTGAAATTTATACCTGTTTTTTCATTTTTCTCATTTTTCGGGTTTTTTGAAGGGGTGTATTTCAAAGAGGGTAGTTTTTTAAAAAAATACATGTATTTGTATTTGTTACTCTATCCCTCCCCTTCAAAATGAGATCTTAGTGGAGTTAATCGATTAAGTTTTAAGAAAGTTATGATTTTTTGAAGTAGGTGGGACGTATGTGTCCCACTGGCCATGAAAGGGTTAAATTGAATAAAAATCCTTACAAGAAAGTTGATTTTTCCTAAACAAAATTAAATAGATTTATTCTCTCAGAAAGATATCCTTTTTTTTCATAAACAAAATTAAATTTTAGAAAAATTTATTTAAAGCAAATTAATTGAAAGTACTTTAGTTATATAATAAAATAGAATTGAAATTAATTAAAAATGTTACTAATTCCAATTTTGGAAAAATGCTCTCGTAATTTTTTTTTTTTTTTGCAACACTATTGAGCGGCATTGTTGAAAAATTAGAGTACGAAAAAAGAGTGAAAAAAATATTCTTTTCGAAATTCAAATAGTGTATATATAGGATTTGTCGAATAAGAACAAAATTAATTGAATGATTCGCGTCGATGTCATGCTGGTCCCTCTATATACCTATATATCGGGAAAGCCAGGCAGTGACAAGTAGCTCTCAATAACGCGATATGACATAGCGTGTCCTGGACACGAAGGACCTTTTCAAAATCTACCCTATACTTGGATCGAGTAATTCGCTTTGCAGCATATCACGCTACACAAAGGTAGATTACATCTCGATATCACACGTCCTTAATTTAAATTTGATTTTTACGCTACAAAAATTTAACATTCATTCCCATATATATGATGAGACACTTTTTTATTTACACATTGTAATTTTTATTCAAATTTAAGTTTTTATTAACTTTTATATACTGCTACTGTTATACTATATATTTTTATATTTTTATTTCTATATTTTATTATTTTCATATTTTATTTTTAGAATGTATTCGTTTTTATTATATAGACACGAAAATCGCTTTTATATTTTAAATAGTATTTATTTTACTTTGTAAATTTTCATTTTCCTAAGTTGTAAAAAAAGCCCCAAGTAATTAATAGCAACAAATATGGTTCTTCAAATAAAGTCAATTTCTACACTGTGATAAAATATTGAATTACAAATTTTTTTTTTAATTTCATGCAATTTTTTTATCTCCATACATATTGAAAAATACATAAAGTACTGCTTTCTATTTTCGGGAAAATGGTGAGTTTAGTAAAGAAAATTGTGTTTTATATTTCATATTTAAAAAGTATGTTTATACACTTTGTCAATAAAATATAGTGGTTTTAATTTTTCTGGTAACCTAATTTTACAAATTAAATAAAAATTGAGAAATATTTTCTAATTTTTACAAAATTTTCCTTATTTTCATTTTAAATTGTAATATTTTTTTTTAATAAAATTCAAAATTCTCCGCGATTTACTCTATTTTTGTAATTGGGGCATTCCATGGGAGATTTTCATTCAAAATTTTTTTTTCCCCGAAACATTTTTTTCGAAATCTATATGAAAAATAAGAATATACGTATTTTTTTATTTGATAAAAATGAAGGAAGTTATGATTTTTTGAAATTTAACGTCAACGATAGAGGTGTGTTTTTGGGACATTTTTTAATCTATTGTACTAATAAATTAAAAATTATGCTACATATGATTTGTTCAATTTTTCTTAAATTTTTCAAATATCTGCTCAAAAATAACGTACCTATAAGAGAAGTAACAAAAAAGTTGAAATTAAACTCAAAAAGTGAGTTTTCTCAAAAGAGAAATTTTTAATTAATTTTTTAATTTTTTTTTTTTGCATTACAATCACTGGTGACTGAAGAATTTTTTCCCCTATCTGCAAAAGTGGTACTTTTAGTTTTTAAGTTACTATTTACAATTTTCTTAGTACGGCTCACAGAATTTAAGCAGTTATTTTACAAATATAACCTTTTTCCATTATTATTCATTTGTTTTTTTTAATTTTCATAAAAACATACTAAAAATTGTTGCGTCGAGCTTAAAAATTGTAAATAGTAACTTAAAAAATAAAAGTACGACTTTCGCAGATAGGGGAAAAAATTCTTCAGTCACCAGAGATTGTAATGCAAAAAAAAAATTAAAAATCGAAAGTGTCTCTTTTGAGAAAACTCACTTTTTGAGTTTATTTTAACTTTTTTGTTACTTCTCTTGTAGGTACGTTATTTTTGAGCAGATATTTGAAAAATTTAAGAAAAAATGAACAAATTTCATATATAGCATAATTTTTAATTTATTAGTACAATAGATTAAAAAATGTTCCAAAAACACACTTCCATCGTTGACGTTACACGGAGAGACCGCCAGTTGGAAAAATTACTAAAAAAATTTACAAGTAGCGGAAATAAGGTTACATTGTCAAATATTGCTGTAGGAAATCGAAAATTCTACTAGCAGCATACTTAATAAAACCTGTAGACTATAGTAAAATTGTACACAAATTGGAATAGAAATTACTATAGTCTACAGTTTTATTAAGTATGCTGTATGACAAAGTAACCTTATTTCCGCTACTTGTAAATCTTTTTAGTAATTTTTCCAACCGGCGGTCTCTCCGTGTAAATTTCAAAAAATTATACCCAAGAAGCACGTAATATATCCTCAATATCAAGGTAATATTACACGTGAGATTCGTAATATAAGGCTGTAATATTACAGTAATCTTACAGTGATCTTTAAATGTCTGCCTCAAGGTAATATTATAGTAATATTACTGTAATATTACAGTAATATTACAGTAATATGACTGATTTGAGTTATTCATAAAGCATAAAAAACGTAAATATATTATAAGTCAATTTGGCTTGTTGGTAAAACTCTGGACTCGTGTGCTTTGAGTTCGGGGTTCGATTCCCTGGATGGGTAGATTTTTTTCGTAAAGAAATGTTCCCATAATATTACTGTAATATTCTCTTGTAATATTACCTTAATATTACGGTATAATATTACTGCAATATTACCCTAATATTAGCGCCTAATATTACAGTAACATTACCGGTAATATTACCTTGAGGCGGACATTTTAAGATCACTGTAAGATTACTGTAATATTACAACGTTATATTACGAATCTTACATGTAATATTACCTTGATATTGAGGTTATATTACGTGCTTCTTGGGTAACTTCTTTCATTTTTATCAAATAAAAAAATAAAAAAATACGTATATCCTTATTTTTCATATAGATTTCAAAAAAAATGTTTCGGGGAAAAAAAAATTTTGAATGAAAATCTCCCGTGGAATGCCCCAATATGTTTTTTTTACAATTTTAAAGACATTTAATTTTACATAAATGTAAGCAGTTAAAAAAAAATGTATTTCGATTTTAAATTGAGTTATATTATACACATATATATATGAATGAAACCACCGCAAATAATTTGATGATGTGAACAAAACATTTGCTTATATTGAATAAAGAGCGTGAATATGCATGTTTCTAAACACCGCACTCGATTCCAAACGAGAGTTATATTCTATCATATATATATATATATATAGTAATATCATATATGTGTCCGCACATGGTTACGGTACGATAACAGTAACATGAAACATCATAAATGTATTCACCCCGTAAATCGATGTTACTAATCAGAGAAAATTATTCATAGTTAAACTATCGGAATTTTGAGCTAGCATATCCCTATGCGATTCCATCGGTCCGAGATTCAGAAACATGGAAAATGCATACATATACATATATCTATATAGTATATGTGAGTGAGTATACGCTAATGCTTCTACACTATTATAAATTTTGTTTGTTGACATTGTGGGCCAATTAAGCACCTACTTCCAATTATATCAGAAGTATAGTATACAGATGTGCCATTTCTACTGTAGACTCTGTTAAATGAATATATTTTTTCTTCAACCAAGAGATTTATTAAAAATCTATTTAGAAAAACATTTTTTTATTTTCACTTTTATTCCAAAATAATTCTTATTTCTTCTAATTATAAACCCCTTAATTTTAATTTGTATTAAAAAAAATATGGATTCGATTATAAAAGTTGGCAAAATTATAAAACGACATATCTCTCATAGTTGTGAAAATATTCTCGTGATGGAAGAATTGAATACATTATGAGATTTGCATTACTGATATTGAAATCGCTTTGGAATCTATATAAAAGTTGAGGTCAAACTTTATCAGGTCATTATAAGTACTCTGCGCAGAGAATAAAATCAAGTTGGATTGATTTTTGAATGAATCATTGAAAAATGGCCTCATCATTTTATATGTTGAATAGAAGATATTGGAAATTATTTTACATACGCATTAATATAGATATTATAATATACGGGAATTTAATCATATCCCTTAAACGTTGAAAATTAGATTAAATATCCATTCAAAATTATCTCTCACTCTATAGGTATTTCCTTAGATAAATATTTAATTAAATGTAAAATTATCATTTAATCAATATTACTACATTATTTGCTGATATATACTGCGAAAAAATAATACTTTCACGCGGTTTATTTGAATTATAATTTATATTTATAATATATAATAATTATAATAAAATCATATTAGGCTGTTTCGTATATATACTAAAACATCAGTACCCAGCCGGATAAGTATTAGAAAGTTATCACTTGTCTCTTTCGTCTGCATAGTTATCAGTTTTTTTCGTTCATAGAACGTTATTGTTTTCGTAGTTAGAAAGTTATCAGTAGTTTCAAACTGCTACAAAAATATATAAAAATTATCAATTTACACTTTTTTGTATACAAAATTATCAGTACTTCTTATACTGCTAAATAAATATTAGAAAGTTATCAGTTTTTTTTTCGTTCTGTATCAGTTGTCGTTTTTTTTTACGTAAAAAGTTTATTTTCATAGAAAGTTATCAGTTGTTTATTACGTACCAAGTTATCAGTTGCTTTTTTCCTACTCTGCTTAACAGAAAGTAATCAGTTGTTGCTTTTCTACGTAAAATATTATTAAATTTTGTTTCATACACAGAAAGTTATCAGTTGTTGCATTCTTACTTAAAAAGTTGTCAGTAGTTCTTATACTGCTAAATGAATACTAAAAAGTTATTAGTTGTCACTTCTTTATGTACAAAGTAATCAGTTGTCGTTATGCTACAAAATAAATATTAGAAAGTTATCAATTCATTCATAGAAAGTCATTAATTATTGTTTTACGTAAAGTTATCAGTTGTTTTTTAAGGTTCATAGAAAGTACTCAGTTGTCGCTTTTGTACGTCAAAAGTTATCAGTTGTTTCTTTTCATTTATACAAAATTATTAGTTGTTTCTTTTCATTTATACAAAGTTATCAGTTGTTTCTCTTCATTCATAGAAACTCATTAATTACTGTTTTTTACGTACAAAATTATCAGTTGCTTTTTTAAGATCATAAAAAGGCATCAGTTATCGCTTTTCGTACGTACATAGTTATCAGTTGTTTATCTTTAATCATAGAAAGTCATTAGTTATTATATTTTACGTAGAAAGTTATCAGTTGCTTTTTTACGTTCATAGAAAGGTACTAGTTGTCGTTTTTTATACGTATAAAGTTATCAGTTGCTTTATTACGTTCATAGAAAGTTCTCACTTGTCGCTTTCTTACGTCGAAAATTATCAGTTGTTTCTTTTCATTTATTAAAAGTCATCAGTTGTCATTTTTTACCTAGGTGAAAAGTTATCAGTTGTTTCTCTTCATTCGTAAAAAGTCATTAGTTATTCTTCTTTACGTACAAAGTTATCAGTTTCTTTTTACGTTCATAGAAAGTTCTCACTTGTCGCTTTTTTACGTCGAAAATTATCAGTTGTTTCTATTCATTTATAAAAATTCATCAGTTGTCATTTTTTACCTAGGTGAAAAGTTATCAGTTGTTTCTTTTCATTCGTAGAAAGTCATTAGTTATTCTTCTTTACGTACAAAGTTATCAGTTTCTTTTTACATTCATAGAAAGTCCACAGTTGTCGCTTTCGTTCGTTAAAAATTATCAGTTACTTTTTATGTTCATAGAAAGTCATCACTTGTCGCCTTCTTACGTCGGAAGTTATCAGTTGTTTGTTTTTATTTATAAAAAGTCATCAGTTGCCATTTTTTACCTACAAAGTTATCAGTTGCTTTTTTAAGATCATAAAAAGGCATCAGTTATCGCTTTTTGTACGTACATAGTTATCAGTTGTTTATCTTTAATCATAGAAAGTCATTAGTTATTATATTTTACGTAGAAAGTTATCAGTTGCTTTTTTACGTTCATAGAAAGTTAACAGTAGTCGTTTTTTATACGTAGAAAGTTATCAGTTGTTTTTTTACGTTCATAGAAAGTCCTCTGTTGTCGCTTTCTTACGTAGAAAGTTATCAGTTGTTTCTCTTTATTCATTAAAAGTCATTTTACAAACAAAGTTATCAGTTGCTCTTTTACGTTAATAGAAAGTTTCTAGTTGTCGTTTTTTACCTAGGTGAAAAGTTATCAGTTGTTTCTCTTCATTCGTAAAAAGTCATTAGTTATTCTTCTTTACGTACAAAGTTATCAGTTTCTTTTTACGTTCATAGAAAGTCCGCAGTTGTCGCTTTCGTTCGTTGAAAGTTATCAGTTGATTTTTTACGTTAACAGAAAGTCATCACTTGTCGCTTTCGTACGTAGAAAGTTATCAGTTGTTTTTTTTGTCCTTGCACTGCTAATGAAAGTTGTAAATTATCATTTTTGCTACAGACAAAGTTAGCAGTTGTCTTTTTCGTACAAAGAAAGTCATAGATAGAACTGAAAGTTATCTGTTGCCCAAAAATTTTTTGTCAAAAGATTTATTTTTTAATTTCATAATAATTAATTACATTGTGTGGATATCAATAATCATAAGCATCAAATTTGCAATAACTTAAGTCTCTCGTTAATAGTTGTTTTGTTTTACATTCGAAGAAAGATAAGTAAGAGAGACAATAAAGATCTTTATATATAGTACATGTACAGTGTGTGTTAGAATGTGATCTTGGGATCACAGATCGAATACAAGTGTGCGAGATCGGAGTCATCTAAAGCGCGAATGGTAAACTCGAGGGTGATTGTCGTTGCGGCTGTTGCTCCCAGGTCGTAGACATTCCGTTGAGTGAAGGAGCACATTGCATACACTTAGATATTTATATATATATATACATTCACTACAAAGTTGAAAGTTGGCGCGTCACGGGGTTGAGAACACTTTGAGTATAACACACCGACCTGGTAGGGATATAGGGATGCACACACAGAGAGTAGTCTAGATGGTGGGGAGATGGAGGGCGTACAGGAGGGGGGCAAGTGGCTCCCTCTAGTGGGCAACTCGTGCCAGTCGAGCCGTGCGCCGCGTTCTAGTGCGGAGTGTTTTCATGTTGTGTCTCGATATATTTTATTGTTTGAATGACGTTCACGACGTGATTATGAACCACGCGAAAAGTTTCATCAATTGTAAACTGCCTTTTCTTGAGGCACGCGACTTATATTATTCTATTTTATTTGACTCGTGTATAGCGTCACGTGAGTCATATTTTATTTTCAAATTTTGCAGCGCACGTTGCACTAAGTTTTCTTTGAGGTTAGAATGAGCCGCGTCCAAATGGGTTTTCGTGTTTGTTGACAGTCCCTTTTACCTTCGTTTCCTTTTTCTGACAGTGTATGGTGTATTTGTGTGTATTTCAATGAGGAAGGATTTTCGTTGAATCTTGCGTACCAGCCGGCTTCTTGTGTTTAATGTACCGGCATTCCAACGATAGTGTCATCCTCGTGCGGAAAATAGTAGTAGTTGTATTGTAAAGGGAGAAAAAAAAAATAAAGGTGAAACGTGATTTATGTGCGGTGACTGTTCGGCAACATTTTCACGTGTGGAAGTCACGTACTGTCTTCCTCAATTTTTTTTTTTTTTACATCATCGATACTTGTGACAGGTGTCATTTCCTGTGTGTTGGTACAATTTATTGTACATTGTGACACAGGAAAAAGTATTTCGTATTTACTCAAAAGTTAAAAATTTTCTTCCATTTGTGTCTGTGTGTGTGTGATTTTTGTGATTGTGAATATAAGGTATTTGAAAACGAATAATCGATTCAAGTGAGACGACGATTCTGATATAAGACAAAAAACTGGTACGGTTTGAAACCACATGTCAAAAATTGGTTATAGAGAGAAAAAAAAGGCCTAAAGCAAAGGAAGTGAAGGATTGACGGAGTCTGTTCCAGGAAAAAGAGTGGAGTAACTTTCAAGGTCGAGTGGGCAACGACTGCGCTCAGCTGAGAACTTGTCTCGCCGCTCGTTGATCAGCGAGAACACGACGTGGATAGTTGAACCTGCGGTGGGATTTCTTAAATTGCCCGCAAGGATCGTGACCGTGTGACGCAGTGAATCCTACCAGTCTATTATAAACCCTTCAGCAAGTTATTCTTAGAACGTGATAAACAATGTCGCGTTTTTTGGAATACCGTGTGTACATTTAAGAACACAGATTGAAGAAAGGAGAAGACAAAAAAAATCAAGAACTAGGATTAAAATGACTATTGCAAGTAATATTGTCGTGGAGTGGCTCAGGTCACTCCATCTTGGACAATATTCCGAGTCTTTTATTGATAATGGCTATGATGACCTTGAAATCTGCAAACAGATCGGCGATCCTGATTTGGACGCGATCGGCGTCTTTAATCAAGCCCACAGGGCTCGCCTTCTTCATTCCGTGAAGACCTTGAGAGAAGAAGGAGCCGCGAGCGTTTATTTTACTTTAGAAGAGACAAATGACTGTCTCTTTGACAATGTCAGTTCCAAGTCCTCGAGAACGTCCTCGGAAAGACCAACGAGTGATAAAGACATTCAAAGGGCATCACCGACAGCAAGCTCATCAAGTGGAGGCCAAGAACTTACGAAATTCGCCGACGAATACGAGGAAGGTAAAGCTGAACTTGTCAGGATTCCAAGGATGCAGCTTAGGATGTTACTACAGGATAAACTTCGAAAGGACGGGATCAAGCTTGCTCATCAGCCATATACAACACCGGTAAGTTTCTTTTGTTTTTGAAAATTGTTTCTAACTTGTTGGAAAAAAGTTTTAAATTGATTTTTCTCCCGAAGAACTTGCTTTTAATGTCGTCGTAATGTTCATTGATCTTGAAATGTCTGAGAGAATCTAATTTAATAACGTTAGTTTGAGAAGCTATATAGCTTATAACATTAAGAAATACGGGTACTGTCGGTTTTAATGGATATAAGGAAAGTAATAACATTAATGAATAGAGATTTAAAAGTGGTTGATTAAATGATGAAAATTAACAACTTTAATAAACATTAAATAATTAGTTTATTTTAGTTTTCTGTTTTTTGTTGTAAAGTAAAATCTGTAAGCAGTGAATGTGAATTAATAACTAAACTAATTCTAATAGATAAGTTTAAATTAATTAATATTTCTAATATAAAGTATTTACAGAAGATAATCTTATTTTTTTTACACTGTAGGACAAAATCTGTTACTGTTATAACAAGCAAAAGTTGCTTCTACATTAAATAAATGTTGATGAATAATAAAAAAAGCCCAAGCAAACAGCAATAACATTCTAAACATAACAAACTAAGAATTAGATCATAATTGAAGTAAATCTATAATAATAGTGCATATGAATAACTATAATTAATGAAAACATCAATAAACGAACTAATAATTTCTTATAAGTGAATCGCAAGCATATAATTAAACAAAGAATCGTAAAATCATGATACATTCTTTGTAAAACCAACATTCAAATGTAAATAACCAGAAGGCATTTCAGATGGCATATGACTCATTAAAAGTGTGACACATAATGGACATTATAAAGAGATATACCTTTCTAATCTTTTCCTATATATAATGTTCTACAGGTATCTTTGAATTTCGATTTTTTTTCTCTCTTTTTTTTCCCTTTAAGTTCGATACTATTTATGAGCTTTCGAATTTCTAAAATACTCTATCAATGATAATCTTGATTGTTTTGCAAAATAATTTTATGTATAAAGTATAGCCTTTCGACATTAACAATGTAAATATTTAACTATTAATAGACATTCGAGGAAAATTGAAAAATAAAATCTAGAGATTCGCGTGAAATAATAATTTTTTTTCCAAATTAATTTCTTTTTAAATTCACATCAAATGTAGATATTGAAATTTGCAGTATATGTACGGCTACCAGAATTAAAATTCTATTGGTTTGACACAGTATAATTTTAATTTTCCGCACTCATATAGAATGCAAATGTAAAAATATACATTTTACGTGAATAATTTTTAAAAAAAATTGAAAACCCTTTACTATGTGATCAAATAAGATCAATTTAAAAATTTTGTTTCATTTAAATCTTAAAAGAAATGTAAATCCGTATCTCGCGTGATTAAATCGGAATAGGTATATATAGCAACTTTTTGAAAGGAAAGTCATATAAATTTTTCATATATCTCCTAAGACTTATATTTTATATAAAAATATATAAAGTTTCCTCATTCCTTATAAATGACCTCTGCTTTGAAGAAATATATATTCATTAGGTGCGTCTATATAAATATTTATTTGACTGACTTTTATCTATATACCTTTTAACAGTTTTAATTAGGATTTTATTTGCTTTTCAAATATCTTTTACTATATTTTATGTGGAGAAAAAAAAAATGTGTTTTACTTCTAAAGATCCGTAATTTCAATTGAACCTTGAAATGCTTGCAATAATTTAAAACGGAACTCAAAACTTTCGAAAGTTCAAATGAACAAAGTTAATCCTTGAGTAATCCATTTAATTTTTTTCTCTCGGTAGAAAGTTCGGGATTCTTGAATATATACTTGCAGCTCTTTGATGTAAAATCCGATTAAAAAGTGATTCTGTGGGATTATGTGTTGTATAGAAATATGATCGTCAAGTTTCTTTTATAAGAAGAGATAAGCAAAAATATTAATAGATTTTAGTGGGTATATTAATCTTTAGTTTCAATTTGTGTAAAAGACAAAAAATAGAACACAAAAGTGAAAAAGGGTTTTTTTTTTTTTCATTATGAACATAAAATTGGTCTCTTTCGTCGTTTGTTTTCATTCTCTTTGTGTTTGTCTTGGAAACCGGTATTAATTCCTAAAAGTACACCCGAAGTCGATTCCAAAAAAATCGCATGAAGAGACCACCCAGGATATGCGTGACTGGGTAATTCTCATATGTTCTAGCGTTTTACAGGAAGAACCAGATTTAATGGTCACGATTAAACCAAGACGTCGGCACGCATCTTCAAGCGCCATATGTCATGTCCTTTTATTTCAGGCATAAATTAAGCAATTCGGTAATAATCCTTTCCTTTTCGCTCATTAATTCCCACCTTAAATGTATTTGTTTTTCGACTTTTTTTTTGTTTCGTTTCGCAATATTATTGAAAAAAAAAAACGTTAGAAAAATATTCTATATTTTATATTGTAAATAGAAAATAAAAATTTCCAAGCTACTGGGTTTAATATATATGTCTTGCATTAAAACACCTGTTTCGTGGTTAAAGATCTTGGGTGTATTTGATGTCTGATCATTAAGATAGGTATTTGACATGTGGAAGGTTTATAGGGATTCTCTTATCCTTTGTTTTACGTAGAAAGATACGTTCCTTCTTGGAAGTCGAAGAAATTAAGATAATGCAGAAGACTCGTAGGCATGACCAGCAACAGTAGATAATCAGTTGATTCATTATTTTGTTACATTAGCTCTTGTCGTAGATAAGATACATGCAATGTTTTACCTCCATACCTTTTTGCTTCTATTTTCATTGTTGAAAGGTCATTTTGGTTAATAAGAAAATAGCTTTTTGTTGTTGTTTTTTTTTTTTAGGCGAAAATTTTGATAAAGCTCAAAGTCATTATTATAATGAAAATAAAATCAATATTATAGTCTGTAATATGAAAAAAGAAGTAATTTTTATCAATAATGACGCTACTATTAGTTCTATGTATTATCACATATTAATCAAGAAGAATTACAAATATGAAGAGGGGAGACATTTGATATCTTAGTGTGCAGGTGATTATCTGACAAACCCATCTGTTGTATTTATTTCGGTCATAAACCTATCATGTCTTTTTTCTACACTCCTTTTTCAGACCTATATTTTTTTCCCTTCCCCCCTCCATTTTATAGCGAGGACAGTAAAATATGTGCGTTCCAATTTAATTTTTTTTTTTGTTCGAGGAAATTAATGTTTGCATATTATATACACATACATAGACTATATATATGTGGAAACAAAGGTAAATCTTCGTCATGTTTTACATGTTCTAAACTTTAAGCCAATATTTATTGTGGAAGTTTCACTGGATTTCCATTTATTTTCTGCTTGCTTGTATATATCATATAATACATAGAAGCATTTAGTTTTGTGTCTTTTTTTTACACGTGTGCACTTTCCTCTTTTGCTATTAAAAGGTTAGAATATTATAGACTGATTCATTGTTTGCCTGCATGCAGTAGGCGTTATTACTATGATCAATTTCTCTTTCGTATTGAAAAAAAAAAAAAATTCATTTTATTTGCGCAATCAAATTTTTATGTTGCAGTGAAATAAAATTAATTTCCTGCTTTTTCTGTAATTGAATAGTGAAATATTTTTTTGAAATTGAAAAATATATTTATAGAAATTGTGGATTTTTTTTTCTTTCGACGTTGAAACATAAAGGGTGTAACAGACGAGCAGTAAAAATTTATCGTGGCATATTCTCATTTTGCGTTGTATATAGTGGAGGGTTCAATTTATTTGGCGCCTCAGCCACCTTGCATATCTAACCAATCGACATTCCAGACATACGAGTATGCAGTCAATTACAGTTTCACGACACTATCACACTTTGTCTATTTATTCGCTTGAGTGGACACATTCGACTCTCTTTTATATATTGACATATACTATAAATGTATATATATATATATATAGATTCGGCATTTATGAAAGCACCTAAGCATCATACACTTGAAGTTGAGCCATTCTTAAGCAGGAAATGCAGATCAAGTCACCTGCCCGTTTTTTCTTATTGCTAAATTTACTACACCTGTCGAGAGGGAGAGAGAAAGAACATAAACGATTGCCTAGCGTTATTTCTTCTTTTTTTTTCTTCCATTGGTATATAAAAGTGCAAAAAATAACTCATGGTTTTTATGACCCTGCTAATTCAAACTTGTTTCTAGTTAAAAATAAAAAAGAATAATCATTCTGAAAAATAATTCTATAAGATTTAATCTTTTCTTACATTGCGAATTGGCAAATAGCAAATAATTAGGAATAAGAACCGAAACTGGGGGTCGATTATGTAATTCCATTTCCACTATTTCTAATTTTCATTTCCATTCCCACTTTTTCTAATTTTCATTTCCACTTCCATTTCCACTTTTTCTAATTTTTATTCCCACTTCCATTTCCATTTTCACTTTCCTTCCCATTTCCACTTTTTCTTATTTTCCTAATGTAAGCGGGAATAAAAATTAGAAAAAGTGGAAATGGGAAGGAAAGTTAGAAAAAGTGAAAGTGAAAATGGAAGTGGGAATGAAAATTAGAAAAAGTGGAAGTGAAATTGGAATTGAAACATTATTTCTCACCAAAGGATCAATAAAAAATACACTCTGAGTAATAATAATTACTATTTTATAAAAAAAAAATAATTTTTAATTTTTAAACCGGATGCTGGGCACTTATTCGTATATATGAGAAAACAGTAAAACGCACACACATATACACATATTACACTTGGGAGAAGAATATTTGATAAGGCAAAAGGGATTCAACGCGTAGTACTATGGTTAGGACTGTTAGGTGAATATATCTGCCCTTATACAACTAAACGCAAGCCCCCCGGTAATAGCGTTTAAATATTTCAGCGAATGTTCAATCGATAGGTACTCTGACCATCCAACCCCTCTCTAGAACCTTCTGTGAACCTTAGGTACCGCTTCGTTCCGTTTTATCCCTCATCCCAGGTACGCGATTTCCATGAAATATCAAGAGCGCGGAATTGG